TGGTATCATAGCTTCTGTCGCCAAAATGTAAATAACTTTCGTTACCTTTTATGGACAGATGAATAAAATTTTTCAAATTCTGGAATGTTTAATAGAAAAAACCACCATTATTGGTCAAGAGAAAATCTTTTGTTAGTACATCCAAGAGGCCCACAAGTCCGTTTCAGTTTCAACGTTTGGTGCGGTATAATTGGTTCAAAAATTGTTGGCCCGTTCTTTTATGAGGGAACCCTAACTGGTGAAAGATATGTGGAATTTATGTCAGAAATTCTGACTAATTTCTTAGACGAATTGGATCTTATAAGTAGACATCATCTGCATTTTCAGCAAGATGGCGCACCTGCCCACAACTCCAGAGGTACTTATCATTTTCTAAGTACTACTTTTAATGATCAGTGGATAGGAACAAATGGCCCAATACAGTGGCCTCCCAGATCACCAGATCTAAACCCACTTGATTACTTCTTGTGGGGTTACTTAAAGAACCAAATTTACAAGCGAAGGTACGATAACCTTGACGCGTTAAAGACTGCAGTTAGGGAAAAGATAACCCAGATAGATGGTAGGACCATACTTAAGACAGTTCGGGCAGTTGAAAAACGTGCCCAAACATGTATTGAAGAACAAGGTGGTGTTTTCGAGCATCTTCTTTAAAAAAAATTGTTATTGTATTTTGTAAGATTATAAGTTGATGTTGAAAATAAAGTTTGTCGATACAATTTAATTGTTTCAGATTGGAGGCCATAACTTCAACAATTTGTAACCTAGGAGAAAAGTTATTGTAAGCCTTTTTGTTTAAAATTTGATGCTTTAACAGAAAAAAATATAATATACAGGGGTTTCCATTTAAAAAAATGTTATTTTACTGAAAAAAATCAAAATAACGACTCTCAATTGTTTTTTTTTATTTCTCATTTTTACCAGCGTTAAAAATGCTACTAGTTTGCTAATTCAAACAACTTTGTATTTTCACTAATAACAAAGTTACTAATGGTGGACACTTAATTTCGATAACCCTGTAGAGTGCTATTGTCAAATATTCCTACAAAAGTATTGCTTGCTTAGCGCAGTATCGTGAGTCAGTCTTTATGGCATCTTTGATTTTTATAGTCTTTCCTCTCCTTCAGAAACGCTGGGATATTTCTAGGTTTCTACTGCACCCTGTCAGCGTCAGCGCTCTCCTATTATCATTCTAAGTTTTCTTCTTGAATTGTGGGAAATTTCAGGCTATATAACAGATGATGCAAATCAAAAGTATGAATAATTTGTTGCAAATAGATATTTGCATATATAGATATACTAAGTGACATATAAATCCGAACACCCAGTTTAAATGGTTTTATTTTAATAAAATTTTGTATAAGTACTTAATGAAGCATAATAAGTAAATGATAAAAATTTCAAAATGATTGCACTGCTTTAAAGCCCTTTGACCTTTAATAATGTGTGGATGCACCCTGATGTGCTACGCATTCTCCAACGCACCTAGGCATGCTTCTGATTATGTCCTCCTGTGGTATCTCATTCCAGGCAACCACCAACTCCTCTCGAAGTGCTTCTAGAGTCTGAGGAGGACGTTGCAAATTGAGCAATCTCCTACCCATCATATCCCCCACGTGCTCAATTGGGGATAAGTCGGGAGATCTTGGTGGCCATGGTAACAATGTGACATCATTATGTTGAAAGAAGTCTATTGTGACTATTGCAACATGTGATCGGGCATTATCTTGTTGGAAAGTTGGATCTGCCAGGGTGTCAAGATAGGGTAAAAGATGGGGTTCTAGAACTTCGTGGATATAACGCTGCGCGTTCATGTTACCTCTGATGAAGATTAAAGGCGACCTGGAACCATAAGCTATAGCACCCCAAACCATAACTCCAACAGTGTGATGAACATGTCTTTCAACAATAAACTGTGGATTTCTCATTTCACCACGTCGCCTTCTAACCCTGGCACGGCTATCGTGCATGCCTAAACAAAATCGAGACTCGTCACTAAAGACAATACTGTTCCATTCCTGATCCCAGAGTGACCGTTGTCTGTACCACTCAAGGCGATTACGTCGGTGTTCTCGAGTTAAAGGGAGGACCCAGTGTGGCCGGTATGAAAACAAGCCAAAACTTCTCATTCGTCGGTAAACACTTCGCATGCCAATAGGTCTTCCGTGTTCTGCAAACCATTCATTTGCAATGGACCTGGTAGTGGAGAAACGGTCCCTTAAGGCCAATAATCTTAGGCGGCGATCTTCACGGTCTGTTGTTCTCGGCGGCGGCGGCGTCCAGTGCCCCTTGCTCTTTGCGTACGGTCTTCTCGAAGCCATGCCTGACAACACCTAACCACAGTGTCTACACTTCTTTGCACTCTAACTGCAATTGCCCGAAAAGAAAGTCCAGCTTCCCGAAGTCCCACTATACGGCCCCTATCAAACTCACTAAGTTGACGAAATCGTACAGGTCTCCGTACTCTAGGCATCTTAACCGATCGTAAAGGATGTCAAGAACCAAAATCCGCCAACGTTGATTCTTTACTGCGGCTGAAATATTCATTTTTAGAGCGTTAGTGAATTAAAAAAAAGCAGTATAAAAACCGGAATGTCCAACTGATAAGGCTGAAAAATTTTTCACTTGTTATTTACAGTAAGATAAATACATTCACCAACTTTTATTAAAATAAAACCATTTAAACTGGGTGTTCGGATTTATATGTCACTTAGTATATTTGTAACATAACCTCTCCAAATAGAGTGCTGACAAAGTAGAAAACTACGAGGATTAAGGAGGCCATAAAGGCGTCCTAAAATTGTAGGAACGACTGACGATACATCCCTTAGTTGCACCATTACGCTGGAGACCTCAATGGGCGGTTAGACGCGAAACCTACCCATTCGACTTTAAAATGTTAGGATATTCTAATAATTTCACAGGTTTGCACGTTACCACGATTCAGGTTTAGTACGTTCATTTTGGTACCAAAGTAGAGCAATACGTAGTACCACTTCATTGGAAAAAAATGCCAAGACTGGGCGCCTGAGGAGAGGGAGTGTGCGCCTCCCATCGACTATCTATTAAGACTATCCTTGTCCATATGTTATGGTACTTCTAAACGGACAATATTGTTATCTACATAGCTCCGATAAAGTAACCAGCAACATACGGAATTATTTTAAGCATAGCCTGGCTATATTGCTATGGTTCTTTCCACGGTTTTTGACAGATCACAGTTAAACTGTATGAATAACTTTTATAGCGTAAACTTCCTCGATCCAGAAAACTTCGTCAGTCATTCTTGCCTGATTCTGTAGCCCTTCTGATGAGAAACTTTGGCAAGTATATGTGTCTACACAAAGCAAACAATATTACCAAGATATAGCCGAGATATAGCTAATATAGCCAAGATATGTTGCTCGGTTATATGCTGCAATATAGCCATGATTGCTGGGGTTGATGGGATATCGCCAAAAATATTGATACGAAAGTATTGCTCGCTAAGATGCTCCATTACGCTGGAAACCTCACTGGGCGGTTAGACGCGAAACCTTTCCATTCGACTTTAAAATTTTAGGATATTCTCATAATTTAGCATCATGATTCATGTGATACAAAGTTGAGGTATGAGGTCGGGACTATCGTAGATCCTCGACCTCCCATCCTCACCAAATCGAACCTTCGCCTGGAACTCTCATTAGGTTTTAGTACCAGAATGGAATATACGCATCTGATTTACCCAGGGAATGAAGTTTCATCCAGATCACGTGATTCATGTAATACAAAGTTGAGGTATGAGGTTGGGACTATCGTAGATCCTCGACCTCCCAACCTCACCAAATCGAACCTTCGCCTGGGACTCTCATTGGGTTTTAGTACCAGAATGGAATCGACGCATCCGATTTACCCAGGGAATAAAGTTTCATCCAGATCACGTGATTCATGTAATACAAAGTTGAGGTATGAGGTCGGGACTATCGTAGATCCTCGACCTCCCAACCTCACCAAATCGAACCTTCGCCTGGGACTCTCATTGGGTTTTAGTACGAGAATGGATCTACGCATCTGATTTACCCAGGGAATGAAGTTTCATTCAGATCTCGTGATTCATGTAATACAAAGTTGAGGTATGAGGTCGGGACTATCGCAGATCCTCGACCTCCCAACCTCACCAAATCGAACCTTCGACTGGGACTCGCTGAGTACCACAGGGGTATTACGTAAAAAATAACAATATGATGTCATTAAAAATTGTAAATATAATGTCAACTTGTACTAGTTAGTTGCTAATCCATGATACGCATTTTCACCGTGAATGTCGCCTCTTAAGAAATGGTAGAACGACTTGCAGTATAGAATTTACAGCTTAAGCCATAGAAGTTGTGATTGGCCTCCTCTAGTGCCATCTCTGAAGTAATTTATAACATATCAGAACCATAGCTCAAGTATCACGATGTTTAACAACACCCACAGGTGGTACAAGGGAACAAGAAGTGAGTGACAGCTAGTTTCAAGGTGACATTTTTTTGTGTATCATTAAAAACAAAAGATGGGGTCTCACCATATTATTCACATGTATTTTTCCCGCTAACGACGAATCTGAAGTCGAGATTGGAATTCAATGGATCAATATGAAAGTAATTTAGTCATTAAGACTACAGATTTTCTCTTTTCTCGTCAGTTATAGGTAGACATCCAAAATACTAAAATTTGTGATTATGACGTCCAAATTACTTTCATGTTTCTCTATCGACGCCATTGGCATCAGTTTGTGTGGGTAAAAATAGATAGCTAAAATATAGCACACACCACTTTTGTATTTTGTGGACCTATGAAATCCATACAATGTCACTTTTCAAGTTACTTAATACGGGCCATCTGAGAATCATGCCAAAGGTGTGGGAAGTAAGTCGCTTAGCCATATATTGAAAGATACCTAATATTTTTGTATGTGGAATAATGAGAATGCTAAGATCAAATACCGAATCAAACCGCCGTACGTGCTCTTTTTTCAGCTAACTTTAGGCGTTGTTCTACTAGTCAGCTCAACATATTCTTCAGAAAGATCTTCTTCGAGACAGAAAAGGCGAGCGTTTATACCGTTTTTCTTGACTAGAACTACTCCACATCCAGATCCTGAGTACAGATTGAACATTGAAACAGGCCACTACAAACGTCAGGAAATGTCAGATGGCCATGGAAACATCAAAGGAAAGTAAGTAAAATTGGATACTAAAGATGCCTTTTTTTCAGCGGTATATCAATACGAGCCCCTTCCCACTTCAGTTGGTCCACTTCAAGATTTGTACCAAAATATGCCTTTATAAACTGAACATGACGAAACTATTTACTTCTAAAACAACTTATTTTCTCAAAAACACTTTAGATGCACTCTAGTCGTAAAAAATACATATCTGAAATCACTTAGATCTATAACTAATAGAACATCTGAATAAATAAACAATAAATGCGCGAAGTTAACAAAGCAACAATTGAAAGATTACCATTGGGTAACATCACCTTTATTTTTTATTACGGCTGAAATTCTTTGAGGCATAGTGTTAACCAAATTTTGGCAAAAATTTGGTGTAAAACAATCTCATATTTCTTGAAGCTTTTGTCTCAGTTCGGTGATTGTACGAGCAGGATGTTGTCGTAGAACCTTTTTCATTTCGTGCCACATAGTTTCAATAGGTGACAGATCTGGACTGCTAGAAACCCATTTCAAAAGTGGTACATTATTTTCTTCCATCCATTTTATAGCCTTTTTTGAGGTGTGGCATGCTGCACCATCTTGCTGAAACACAAAATCTTGGCCGGATGTCAAACATTCTTCCATCACTGGTAAAAGCGATTCTTCTAAAATTGCCAAATATTTGTTTGTATCCACATTTCCATCAATAAAATGAAGTTTTTCTACTCCTTTTGATGGCATACTGCCCCAGACCATAATGTATGCTGGAAATTTCACTTTTCTCTTCAGACAGTCAACATGGAATGCATCATTTTTTTGCGAATAATTCTACTGCGACTGTCACCAACACAAACTTCGAATCGGGCCTCATCACTCCATTGTATTGCACACCATTGTTGAGATGTCCATTGTCTATGTTCTTTAGCCCATCTAAGCCGATTTTTCTTTTGCAGTGGAGTTGATAGTGGCTTTTCTTTGGCCTATAAATAAGTTGTGCAACTTTGGGGTTTTTACTTCACTTTTTTTTATAAGAAAACTTACCTTGCAAGTGCTAAATCCCAGTTTGTGGGCCTCTCTATGAGTTGTGGACCTCGAAATTCTCCTTCCAACAGCGTCACTCCACAGAGCACTTAATTGTAAATAATTGGCACGCCTGTTTTTCACGATTATTCTTCTTAATGCTCTTCGGTCGGCATTTGTGATATTATTTTTTTTTTCACATATCGTGGCTTAATATTAACTGAACCAGTTACGTTATATCTTCTAACAATATTTCTCACACTGTACCGCGATAAGTCTAACAAAGTTGCAATTTCTGAGTTTGTTTTCCCAGAATTAAAAAATTTAATTATCAGTAACAGAATTTTCTCACTAATAACTACTCAAAACTATTTTAAATGTATTCTGACCGCTGTGATTAATAAAATAAATTATTTTGCATTGAAATGAAAATAGGTTGGTAAGCTGTAATTGCAACATGTGTTATTTTTATGCTGCAAATTTGATTAGGGAGTGATAAAGTTGGTGTTATGGCCTCCAAAGGGTACAAATAAGTATTAAACAGCGTTTTCACATTTTCTATAATCGAGAAATGGTAAAACTGCGAAGTTCAAACGTCATATTTCACGTCAAATCTGCAACGTAATAAGTTCTAGACATCCTATATAAACTAATCCAAAAGGGTTTTCCTTTTTGGCTTCTAAAATTACTGAAATCCTTTCTTGAAGGAAGGAAGTTTTGGATCAAAATTAACAATGTTTTGTCAACAACACGGCCAGTACGGGCCGGTGTTCCTCAGGGTTCGGTCCTAGGACCAGTTCTTTATTCGCTTTTCATCTATGATGTCCCTTCCCCCAGCAACTGTGAAGTCTACCTCTATGCTGACGACACTGCACTTGTCGCCCAGTCGTGTACTGGTGATCTGGTTCACGATTTGTTGCAGAATGCGGTGGACGAAGTTCTAGAGTGGGCGGAACGGTGGCTGATAAAAATTAATCATTCGTAAACGCAGGCTATTTATTGTACCAAAAAACATCGCGGCCCCCCAGCAGAGGTTTCTGTAGACGGAAACCGTGTACCATGGACAAATTCTGCCAAGTATCTCGGTGTCACCCTTGATAAAGGCATGACCTGGCAGAAACATACAGCATCCATAAAAACAAAATTCCAAATTGCGTTTCGGCAACTATATCCTTTGTTATGTAGATCCTCCAAATTGAGTTTGATAAACAAAGTTCGACTATATAAAATGATTATTAGACCAGCCATTACTTATGCATGTGCGGCTTGGTGTTTTCTTGCCAAGACACACATGCAAAGTGTTCAAGTACTGCAAAGCAGAACTTTGCGGACAATTTGCAACGCTCCATGGTATGTCTCAAATGAGACACTACACAGAGACCTTGACATTCCTTACTTGAGGGATTATGTCAAGCTTCAGGCGCAGCGACGTTATAGTCAAGCGGAATCGCACAACAACCCTCTGTTGCGTGACTCAGTGGACTACACAGTGGAGCAAGTTCGTAAACATTCAAGGCCACGGCTCGCACTGTAATCAAAAGTTAGCGTGAATCTTTAGTAAACTCAAAAGTATACTCTAACAAAACCGAATCAAAAATTTGTTTAGCTCACCTCAAAATTAATCCGTGTACCAAGTCAAAAAGCCTAGGTGTTTCCTCTCAAACTAAGCATATCTGTTTTTCTTTGTTCTTCTCCTTTTTTCTTCTCTTTCCCTTTCTCTTTTTCCTTGACTTTGTCTGGTTTCTGGGCAACCAGGACTGACAGATTCGACTAACGTACATCAGACAGTGACTAATGGGCAAAGGTCCTACGGACCGCCCAGACAAATAAATGACGAATAGTATAAGTTCTAGACATAACAAGTTTTTCCGTGCTCTATTCTTAAACTTATTTTGGCCACAGAGGTTACGCTTCCGTCAAATATAAAGAGAGTAATTTTTATTGTCTGAAGTTGACAGTTAGGCTTGAAATGTATCTATGGATATACGGAATAACAACCAAATTCTATTGGCTGATTCCTGCGTCGGATAATATATTGGATTTAAATGAGTTTTTTCCTATACAAGAGCGAAAAAGTGAGGGCAACACCATTGCCTTTGTCTAGGAGGAAAACACCCCATTAGGAAATACGATTTGATTTAAAATAAGAAAATTAATTTTGGATGTTAAAATCGCTTTAAAGGAATAAATTTAGGAAACGCTGATGCTGCTGAAGTTTGACTACAAGTTGTAGGGTGTATTTTTAGATCGTAATACCTCTTCACCACTAGTAATATACTGACGTTTTTTCTATTCTTAGTCAGTGTTCAACAAGAAGTTATCTCTTACCGAAGATCTCCGCCCCTGAAAAAAGTTCTTACTGGCGCCCATGCTTAAAGCCATCACTGCCATAGAAACTTACCCTGTGGAAAGAAGACATTTTAAATGAACTTTTGACCTTAATTTATGTATTCCTTGTATCATTCTTCATCTGTACCTTTTCCGATTCCTAATTCATCCCCTGAAATTCTTGAAGGTACACCTACTGGAACGAAGGAGGTGAACACACAATCGACTACTTTGCTGGCCAAGATCCCAGATACCTCTCAGCTGCCATGACACTGCCTATCCCAGGGGCACCAATAGTACCCAAGTACTTCTTCTTACCACGTCACGTGTACCCTTGCGCAACCAATCACACCAAGGAAAAAGATAATATTGGATATACTGTAGAGCCATTGGACACTACGGAAGTTCCTACGGGGAGTACAGAAGATTCTACGGATCAAACTACCGAGGGGAGTCAAACAACTGTTGGTAGTGAAGAAAAAGAAACCACTACGATGGGAGCTTAATTATTATTATTATTATTTTGTTATTCAGTATTAACTCTGTATACCTGTATGTATACATTTTATAAGCTATTGCAAATAAAAATGTTCTCAACTTGAATCTTTACTAATTAGTCAAGATTAATAACTTTTTTTTTATTTTATTTTTATCCAGCGATTAGTTAGACTTCTTCTAGCTATGCTACAACTATTTAAAACTGTAATGACTCATACGCGTGATCTACACGTGATCAGAGCTCGATCCCGGCTTCCTTCCAGTACAGCCGTATAGCGTACGACATATGTCGTTTCTGTGGCTTTGCGGTGGTCAACAGCACAGACAGAGATGGAAATAATGGCTGATTGTTCTCCGCCGGTAGAACCAATGAAATCAAAGACGCGCCTCGACCGGCAGACTCATAGGCGTCGGCAACGCATTGGAACGTGTTTCGTTGAGCGATCGCATATTGTGTGTTTTTATAAGAATTGTTGTGTGATTGTTATTGTTGTGGTTTCTGTGGTTACTGTTTTGGTTATACTTAACCATGTAGAGTACAAATGGCACGAGTGGAAGTACTGAAAGCTAGGGAACAAGTAGACGGCTTCGTAAAGCACTGAAGAGGGACGCGAAAGAAATCGTGCTCAACGTGTTCAATTATCTGAACAGAACATGTCGCAGGGAGATGCACTCGCGCGTTGTGAAAGTACGACAGGCGTTCCAGAGTGGACCATTCGCAGGGTGGTGCATGGAAAGAAGAAAACTGGAGCTACTACTGATCCAAAGTTTAATTTAAAGGGACGAAAGGCCCTTAAATTGGATGACGATAGCAAAATGGCATTAAGGCGAACCGTACATTCATTCTTCTTTAGGAATGAGATACCAACTCTCAAGGCTGTACATGCAGCGTTCAAGGAAAAAGAAATTACACCCCAAATGAGCGTCGAGGTAATGAGGAAATCCTTGCATGAAATTAATTTTCGTTACGAAACGCGTAATCGGAAGTCAGTATTGATAGAGAAACCTGAAATAGTCGCCTGACGTCGAAAATACCTACGCGAAATGATTGAATATAGGCGACAAAGCAGAAAAATCTAAAATCTATTATTTGGACGAGATATGGGTAAATGCAGGTCACACAGTTAAAAAAACCTGGATAGACAAAAACGTAGTGAGTAACCGACAAGTAAGCATTGAAGGTTTGTCAACAGGTCTTCGTGGACCGTCAGGGAAAGGTCAAAGATTGATCGTAACTCATATTGGTAGCGATAGTGGCTTTTTAGAAGAGTGTGACTTGATTTTCGTCTCTAAGAAAGGAGGTGATTACCATGACGAAATGAATGCCAGCTGCTTCGAGAGCTGGTTTCAAGGGGTGCTTCAGCGAGTTGAGCCCAACTCTGTGATCGTCATGGATAATGCTTCCTACCATAGTCGTCGGCCGAACGTGTACCGACTATGGGATCTCGAAAAAGTGACATGCAGCAATGGTTGCGCGAAAAAGGAATCCCGTTTGACGATTCATGTGTGAAAGCGGAATTGTATGAAAAAATTAAACAGCACAAACTTGCGAACATTAGTTACGTGACTGATGAGATGGCCCGTCAATGTGGTGTCACTGTGCTGCGGTTACCGCCCTGCCACTGTGAACTGAACCCAATAGAGCTCATCTGGGCCCAAGTGAAGGGTTATATTGCGCGCCATAACACAACCTTCAAATTACCAGACGTTAAGGTTTTACTTGAGACTTCCATACAGCTAGTAACGCCCGAACCTTGGCAGAATGCTATCCGTCACGTTGTGAAGGAAGAAACAAAAATGTGGCAGCTTGACCACCACATCGACACCATCATAGAGCCAGTTATAGTCAATTTCAACGAGAAAAGCGATAGCGACAGTTTATTACTGTCAGATGTAAGTGGAAGCGACGATGAATAAAGCTAATTCCCAAATGTTTGACTTACAATGTGTTTCAAACCACTCTTTATTAAGCATGTGACAAATCTAGTTCACCCATGTTAAACATTCATACCCCGCCTATGAACAGCCGACTACTGGTAGTTAAGTGATGTTCACGTGAACATCGATGAGTCATTACAGTTTTAGATAGTTATAGTATAGTCGTAACACGTTAAGGGGTCACCTTCACATCTTGAGAGTTGTCAATGATTCACTATAAGGGCGATCTGGCATCAAGGAGTCCTTCATCCAGGTTTTAGTTTGCTGTGAGGCAATATAAGACCAAGGACAGATCATATAAGGAATCCACTATGTTGAACCCAGAAGGTATAGTATGGAAATAATCTAGGGCAGTTTTTCTCAAAGAGGGCGATAATGCCCCCTTTTTACTGAAATTGGACCTAAACCTGCGACGAAAATCGCTACTAAAAGTCGTTATTTAAAACATACGACTACGGCTTCAAGATGTCATGTTCTTGGAGGAAACTCAATACGATGAAATATTTAAAGTGATAACTAACTTGAAGAATGGGAAAACCCCAAGATTTGACGATATGAAAAGCGAAACACTAAAAGCCATAACATCCTACATTGCAGAACCCCTATCTTTTATATTAAACATTTGCTTTCGAACAGGTCTAGTGCTATTGGTGTTCAAATCAGCAATAATTAAACTGCTATTTATATAAGGAGATCAATTTATGATAACAAACTATAGACTTATCACTTGCTTTGCGGAAATTTTTGAATCTGTCATAAAGCTAAGACTTGATATCTATACAGGGTGTTTCAGTTTATTGTTGCATAACTTTAAGATTCGATAGAACTTTTAAAATTAATGCATAAAGTCTATATAAACATGGGTCGAAAAATGCGTGGCATCCGAAATACAGGGTGTTTAAATTTACTTTTTAAAATAGTTTTTTTTAAATATTTCGAACAATATTTGATGTATAACAGTGAAAATTGGTATACAAGGGTTTTTTGGTACGACAAAACGAACCATGTGAATAAACTGTAGCCGCTAGAGGGCGCTCTCTACTGTACCTGTAGTGTATTAAAATGACCGAAATTTTTTTCTTAGTGCAATTTTTTGCTTTTTGAATAAAAAAACTGATTCTTCGTACTTTTCTGCATAAAAAAGCTATCCTGTGAGTTTTCATTATAGGTAGCCGTTTTTGACATATTTCGATTTTTAAGGTTCGATGCATTTTTACTTATTTATGGGAAAATAATATTTCTTTTTACATTTTCGATTTGGGCATTACAAGTAATTAAGATGATCGTTTAGATTGTGTTTTTAAACACAGCAATAATTCCTAACTCCAAATAAACACAAAAAACAGAATATTAATTTGTTTAATTTTCCAATATTATTTTTAACAAATTAAATTAATTATTTACAACTAAAATGCTATTGGATAGTTAGGACAAACATAAAAAATCTAAAGTAGTTGCTCGAAATGTAAACCCAATTGTTCAATACACAATTCACATCTACGAATGATCGAACGTGGTATAGCATTATTCAAATAAGGCCTTATTTCATCACATGCATTCCTGATTCTGTCTGTTAGCATATCTCTTGTGGTTACGGGAGTCTGGTACACTTTTTCTTTTAGAAATCTCCACACAAAGAAATCTAATCTCATCTTTCTGGATAATTTTCGTCCAGCCAGTTTCTAACTATTCTCGAATAATGAGCTGGACAACCATCAAGCTGGAAGCAGGCCAATCTTCTTAAATCTAACATAACATCATCCCACATATTTGCATGTTCAGCCTTTAAAAATTCCAAGAAGGTCGCAGCATTTAACCTTGCAGGCAAAAGGTAGGGTCCAAATAGTCGATTACGGTAGATACCAATCCACACGTGCACACTAAATTCATGCTGAAAATTTCTTTCCCGAACTGCATGCGGATTTTCATGCGACCAAATATTGATTATGAAAACTTACCACTCCACGTCTAGTGAAGCATGACTCATCGGTCCATAAAACGTTACTTAAAAATGCCCTATTATTATCAGTTCTATCAAGAATCCACTGACAAAATGTGATTCTTCGTTCTTCGTCCCCTGGCTGTAGTCCTTGCACAGGTTGCAAATGGTAAGGACGTCTATGGTGATTTCTAAGAACACGGTGAACATGGCTTGTTGAAATTCCCAAGGCACCAGAAACTCTCCTAACACTAGTGGTCGGATCTCTATCAAACTCACGCAGAATCATACGGGTAAAAAATATTTGCAGGCACAGCCTACTTCTAAAAATTATCGAGATACTGACTTTTAACGTGATTTTATCATAAATAATTAAAAATGCATCGAACCTTAAAAATCGAAATATCTCAAAAACGGCTAACTATAACGAAAATTCACAAGAGAGCTTTTTTATGTTGAAAAGCGCGAAGAATCAGTTTTTTTATTCAAAAAGCAAGAAATTGCACTAAGAAAAAAATTTCGGTCATTTTAATACACTACAGGTACAGTAGAGAGCGCCCTCTAGCGGCTACAGTAAAACTATGCCCATGGTTCGTTTTGTCGTACCAAAAAACCCTTCTATACCAATTTTCACTGTTATACATCAAATATTTTTCGAAATATTTAAAAAAAACTATTTTAAAAAGTAAATTTAAACACCCTGTATTTCGGAAGCCACGCATTTTCCGACCCATGTTTATATAGACTTTATGCATTAATTTTAAAAGTTCTATCGAATCTTAAAGTTATGCAACAATAAACTGAAACACCCTGTTATAGCTACAGTAATATTCTATCATACACTCAAATTCTAACAAAACCGAAGCTCGGCAGATGCCATTGCTAACCTAGTCAGTAAATCTCACGGACAAAAATTTACCATCTCTTGGTATATTCTTAGACCTGACAAAGGCATTTGATACCGTTAATTTTGAACTTCTTCTAGTATTTCTTCAGAATATTGGAACTCTTTGAGAATTATTTGTTGGACAGATCTGGATTTGTGTCAATATACCGGATTCTCAGCCATACCTGCGGCCTACTGACGGAGTGCCGCAGGGCACAATATTAAGCCCGATTCTTTTTCTTAACTATGTAAATGGCCTGTTCTTGAATGTAGCATGATGCCTTTTGCAGATGACGCCATGACGCTGTCTTGTATTACCAGGCAGAAAGTTGAGAGTAGTTTATAGACAAAGTACGAGAAGACTTTGTGAATGTGAAGGAATGGATAGACAGTATATTCTTCTGCACCGAACTTTGACAGTATATCTACATATAATCAATAAAATGTTGTCAAGTATTCTTCAGCGATGTCAAAATGAAAAGTATTTAGGGGTCCATATCGATGAGACTCGCAAGCACATTTTGTGGTTAAAAAGCTATATAGGTATACAGGGTGCCATTCATATATGGACGGAATATTACTCATAAACAAAAACATTTTGGGAAAATCTATTTATGGCATGTTATACATTACATTTGAGGGCACATTTCTAAAATATTGGCCATTATAGAGGGTGTCCAAATTTCGACCTACAGATCAAAGTTGTGATTTTTCAAATAGAATGCCTCAAATTTTATTGCATATTTGGATTAACCAACTCAAAAGAAGAAAATTGGTGTAACATACTATGGAGTTTTGGTAATTAGCTACTGAGATATAAAGTATTTTATCTAGAAAAACCCCCCACTTCGGCAACCCCTCAGTCTGCCATTTTGAAATTTGGAGTGCTGAATTTTATATCAAAAAAAATTTACACACCTCAGCTTTTATCTTATTTGTCACTTTTTCGAATTATAATTTTTGCTCATTCCTGGTGGTCAAAAACGCAAATTGTAGCTTTTCTCAAAAATTTCAAACGCTTCACCCTGTATATTTGTGCAAATTTGGATTCAATTTTTCATAAGTTTTTTTTTGGTACTAGACACATAAGGCTTTTACGGCTATTTTTTCGGTTATTAGCGTCTTCTATGGAACGGCTTTATTCCTTAAAATATCGCATCATCATTTGAAACAAATAAATTGTTGAAGAGTTACAAACTGTGAAAATTAGCTTTGTGAGTATTATTATTAAAAACGTGTTTGAAAATGAATTTTTCTAAAGAAGAAATGGTGAATATGGTGTTCGTTTTGGGCGAAGCCCGATGAAATAGTTTCCTAGCATCTCGCATTATATCTTGGCCTATACCTTGGCCTAGATCACCAGATATGACACCGATAGACTTCTTTCTATGGGGCTACGTTAAGCAAGAGGTTTATAGGAAAATATGAAGGAAAGGATTAAGGATGCTTTTCTGAACATAAGGGAACACATGCTGAGGGATGTGCAACGGTCATTCATCCAAAGACTACGGCTGTGCATTCAACATGATGGAGATATTTTCGAGCAGTTTTTGTAGATTAGCTCTTGAGTAGTGATAATTGTTTGTTTATGTTGTTATTATAGCTGTTTTTCTCTGTTACGCTTGAAGCTGAATACTGTTCTGATCGTTATTAGGTTTTACGTCGAAACTGTATTCTTAGTGGCAATATGGAACTAGCCCACTGTTTGTCTTTTGTTTCCATGGATGATGTGATTTTTGTCCTTAATTTTGGTGTGTTGTACTATTAAAAGCTTATTAACACAAAATCTAGTGATTTTATCTGTATCAAACCTTATACCAAAAAAAGCTTACAAAAAAGTGAATCCAAACATGCACAAATATACAGGGTGATGCATTTGAAATTTTTGACGACCCTGCTTGAGCGAAAATGAAAATTCGAAAAAGTAACAAATAAGATAAAAGCTGAGGTGTGTAAGTTTTTTATATACAAAATTCAGCACTCCAAATTTCAAAATGGCAGATTGACGGGTTGCCGAAGTGGACGGTTTTTCTGGACAAAACACCTTACATCTCAATAGCTAAACCAAAACGCCATAGTATGTTATATCAATCTTCTTCTTTTGGATTGGTTTATTCAAATATGCAATAAAATTTGAGGCATTCCATTTAAAAAAATCACAACTTTGATATGTAGGTCAAAATTGGGAAACCCTGTATAATTGCCAATATTTAAGAAATGTGACTTCAAATGCCATGGATAACATGCCATAAATAGATTTTTCCAAAATGTATTTGTTTATGAGTAATATTCCGTCCACACTTGGATGGGCCACCCTGTATAATGTTTTCTACAAAATAAAAAAATTCTCAGATACTACAAGCCTGCATGTTATTTAGCAAGCATTAGTTGAACCCCACCTACAGTATAAAATATTTGCATGGGGAGATATACTTAAAACTCATTTGGAGTCCCTGCAAACAAGTCAAAAAATATTTAAAAAAAAATGATATCCAACGACAGCCCGGTAAGAAGAAACGGATCTGTTGAACTTGAGACAGTTATATTTTTCCAAAAGTTAATGTGTATTTATATGATAGGAAATATTAATTGAGGCATCCAGCTCATACAATTATAGTATGAGGCATGTGGAAGCCAAGCTATGTATTGAGCTTTATGCAAACAGCGACTGGTCAAACAAGCATAGACTATTTAGGCATCAAGTTGTACAACTCCTTACCAAAGCTATTCGAAAACTAAAGTCTTTGAGTTTGAAAAAAGTTAGAAATATTAATTAGTCAACACGATGTTGGCGGTTTAAATAACCTTTTTGTGTGAAGTTCTCAAATGTTTTCTTTGTAGCATACTTGTGTAATTTTAAAATTTGTCATTTTGCCCATCAATCTACATATATGTATTTATATATCTTGTATTTTGTTTCTGCTCATCCGTTATTTGATTTTTTTTGTATATTATTTGATGAGCAAAATGCCGTTTTCTAATATCTTATATTCTTGTATTTTAAAAATGTTTTATTTTTCATATACAAGTTATTTGCGTGACTAGTTTTTTATTATTCGAATACCTTATAATTGTAAATAAATGTATTTTAATACAATTTTACTGTATCTCTAAGTTGAGCATCATACAAAAATGTTTTTCCCTTCTCCACGCACTGTGCATTAGCACTCAGTGTGGTATATTTTCGACGTTTATACTCTAGATTACCCTTTTATTGCTATCTCTTCTCTCATTGCAATCTTTTTTTGGTTCATTAGACATTATTATTACTATTAACATTATTATAGTTCTACTTATTCATTCAATTCAATAGTTTAATGTTGGTTATTTCAATGGAATATGGATTCTTCTTAAGCAATGTCATTTGGTTTTGTCTTTTTCAAGGAAGAGTGAAGGTAGAACGATAGTGAATGAAATAACATGACCGTTACAAAAATAAATAGCTTTTTATTCTATTCTTCAACTTCAATTCATTATTTTCTTGTCAGTGTGTTCGGTGATACTTGTCAATGAGTCTACTCAGGAAGTCACTATTGGTGTTGTTGGTAGGTTTGCTGGCTCCTGAGTTGATGCCGTATACTGGTAGAAGAGCTTGGTCTGGAGACACCCCTGCAATGGCTGTGCCGATTGGTCGAGCTATGGCCAGTCCTCCAGGGCCTACTACTGCTGTGCCAACAGGTTTGCTCGAGGCTACACCACCGTCACCTATATCACAAAAACAGAAAACAGTGTTGTCAAGTGGGCAGGAGCGGTTTTGTAAAATAAAATTGTAACTTCTATATGGGTTCTTGCTCATTTTTTTTGCATTTAATTCAGGAACTGGCCATTACCCACAACTCTTCCGTCTCTGAACGAATATAAACAACATTTTTTACAAACATTCTTCAGTAATTGTGGCCTGCAGGTAACTGCAACTCTGTACTCTGGTGAACGATTTGATGAATTCTGTATAGAGCCCAAAGGCGCGTTATGATGTTGGCTGATTATTATTTTTTTTTTAATTATCGGAGATGGTGAGAATAAAATACCGTAGCGCCATCTATGAGAATTTGTTACAGCTGTTTCGCTATTTACTATATATACTTTGAAGAGGTTAGCGTCTCATAGATGGCGCTGTATGCTCGTATCTTTTGAACATACAATACAGTATATTCAGATAAGAGATAGACCGGATGTAAACAAAAGGTTCGGGTGATTTTCACGCTAACGCCGCCGTCTCGACGTAAAACAGGAGCCCTCATTGGTCAATTCGCAATTAAATGCCTATGCCGAGCGGCAGAGCAGTCGTATCAAGGCAGAGTCACATTCAGGTTCAGACGTGTTACGTATGTCGTGTGCATCATTGCAATTTGATATTTCTTTGGACGTTTTCGTTTATTATCTTATTAAGTTGTTGAGTTTGTCGTTGTTATTGTTATACCTTGTTATTGATTGTTATTGTTATCAACTGCTTGCGCAAAATGCCCAGTAGTACAGATACTGCCGATGAAGTTGTAAACTCCTGTAGTCCACCTAGGAAACGCTCTAAAAAAAGACACCTGAGTGCAGAAATGAAAGAGGTCATTTTGAATATATATAAGATCGAGCGCGAGGAGAACGAGGCATCAACCAGCAAAGAAATTGTTGTGAAGGTTTCTCACAAAGTTGGGGTGTGTCGCGCATCAGTGTTTAATGTGTTAAGACAATACAAAAAAAAATCACACCTTTTCTGAGCCAATGACCAGTAATCATCGCAAAAGTATTGTTAAATCATTGGATGAAGCTGATAAGCATGCGATTAGGAAAGTGCATGAATTCTTCTTTAGGAATGAAATACCTACTATAGATAAAGTACTGCAGGAGGTAAATGGAGATACAACGTTGCCAAATTTCAAACGATCAACTTTCCAAGCATTTAAATTTCAAATGGAAAAAACGGGGTCGTAATAGTTTACTACTGGATAGAGAAGAAATTGTGCTATGGAGGAGGGATTATTTAACAAAAATTGGGAAATATAGAAATCAAAACAGGAAGATTTATTACCTTGATGAAACGTGGGTAAACGCAGGACACACTACAAGTAAAGTATGGGTTGATGATTCTGTAACTTCATCCAGGAGGGCCTTTCTAGATGGACTGTCCACCGGATTAAAAAATCCAGCAGGTAAATACGAGTAATAGACAACAATCGGATGTTTTTCAAACCTTGGGAACAAGGTTCTAAACATTAATTCCAGGGGGCAGATAAAACATATTACAAGTAACAAAACTTTTATAACTTTCGATAAAATGCGTGGATGTTTTATTGTCATTTTCATTTGTTAGAACTTTTTTAAGCCATGTTTTTATGTGTTTTCGATATTTCAATAATTTTTTAATATAATCTTAAAATATGTCGAATATTATAAACTTAAAAAAAGTTACTAAGTTTTATATTGTGTATCGTTCCTAATATTTCTAATCATTTTAATTCATACTTTAAGCTTTATAAAGTTATAATTTGTTAATATTAATATTTGCGCGTATTTCAGGTTCCTGATCATTCATTTTTTAAAGGTTTAAAACTTTAAATTAAATTGTGAAGCGCTGAGTAATCATACGACGTTCAATATTCTTTCTTTCAATATGACTAAATAATCCCAATTATAGCAATCTGATACTCATGTCTCAATGTTTTTTCGCTGAATGTGATGAAAACATTTGAAAAAGGTTCGCTTATTGAAATAAATCTACACCAGTTAGTACTTCGATTTCCAGGTAAAGGGAAAAGGCTCATTATCTGCCATATTGGCAGTGAGGATGGATTTGTTGTTGACGGTCTGTGGTGCTTTGAGTCTAAGAAAACTGGAGATTACCACGAGGAAATGAATGGCGAATCGTTTGAACAGTGGTTTTCAAAAATTTTACCGAACTTAGAGGAAAACGCAGTAATTGTGTTGGATAATGCGCCTTATCATTCTCGAAGAATGGAGAAGGTCCCAACAACGGCTTCAAGGAAAGTTGATGTTCAAAATTGGCTCCTCTCGAAAAATATCAACTTTGAAGAAGCAATGCTGAAAGTACAATTATTAAGAATTGTCAAGGATCACAAGGCGGAATATTAAAAATACGCCATTGACGAAATGGCAGCAAGTCAAAATAAAACTGTGCTCCGTTTACCTCCATACCATTGCGAGCTCAATCCCATTGAGCTCATATGGGCAGAGGTTAAAAATTATATAGCTAAGCACAATACAACTTTTAAATTTTGTGACCTCAAAGGACTTTTCAAAGAAGCACTAGAATTAATAACAGCGCAAAAATGGGAAAACTGTATTAAGCACGTGAAAGACAAATTTGAAAAGAGAATGTGGGAACTGGACAATATTTTAGAGGAACAAGTCGAGCATTCATTATTGACGTTGGTGCTTCAGGCAGTAGCGATGATGACAGCTCATCAAGCTCATCTTTCCAATAAAAGATGTCGTGCATCAAATTCGGTAAGTTATAAGTAATTATAAAGCTACTGTATTTTTTAATTAGTTATTGACATTTTTGAACCCATTTTGGCAAAACCTATTCAAGAATCTACTTTCTGACAATGTTCAACCATGCACATTTTTTTACGTTTTGAACGTTTTAATTTGGTTACATATTTACCTAGAAATCAAAAAATATACTAATCAATATTCTTAAAGCAATTTTAAGAGATATACGATTATTTTTAATTTAGGCTAATTTAAATGCCATTTTGAGATTATATTCGACTGTATTTCACCAAACATCAGGCGGCATCCGAAGCTGGAAATCGAAGCGAAAATTTTGAAACCCTTATGTATATTTACATCATTATATATTTCTTACCCCACCCCCACATGATCCTATATCCATCACCAATCGTATACACATCGAATTGTGCTAATTTACTACAAAGTTACGCAAAGCAGCATCTACTATCTAAAATATGTAGGTACTGCGTGACTCTTAATACGTCCCTGCCGAATGTTACAGCGTTCGATGATCACGTGGTCTTGTTTATGTCCGGTCTATCTCTTATCTGAATATACTGTAGTAACCACCGACCCTATACCTAATCTTTACTTCCGATATCCCTCGTTTTGACCACGCAGAGGTGTTCCTTTACGCTGACGATACCGCCCTGGTGGCTAAGTCATTACACGCCCAAGAAGTTGTAGATTGCCTTCAGGAAGCGGAGTGTCAGTTGGAGGATACTTCTGTAGGTATGTGGAAAATCAATGTTAAAAGACCAAGCGCTTTTCCAAACAAAACGTAGGCATTCTGCACCTAGGCAGTTGAGAGTATTCGATCGAAAATATACTAAGCGACATATAAATCCGAACACCCAGTTTAAATGGTTTTATTTTAATAAATTTTTGTATAAGTACTTAATGAAGCATAATAAGTAAATGATAAAAATTTCAAAATGATTGCACTGCTTTAAAGCCCTTTGACCTTTAATAATGGGTGGATGCACCCTGATGTGCTACGCATTCTCCAACGCGCCTAGGCATGCTTCTGATCAGGTGGTCAATGTCCTCCTGTGGTATCTCATTCCAGGCAACCACCAACTCCTCTCGAAGTGCTTCTAGAGTCTGAGGAGGACGTTGCAAATTGAGCAATCTCCTACCCATCATATCCCACACGTGCTCACTTGGGGATAAGTCAGGAGATCTTGGTGGCCATAATAACAATGTGACATCAATTATGTTGAAAGAAGTCTATTGTGACTCTTGCAACATGTGGTCGGGCATTATCTTGTTGGAAAGTTGGATCTGCCAGGGTGTCAAGATAGGGTAAAAGATGGGGTTCTAGAACTTCGTGGATATAACGCTGCGCGTTCATGTTACCTCTGATGAAGATTAAAGGTGACCTGGAACCATAAGCTATAGCACCCCAAACCATAACTTCAACAATGTGATGAACATGTCTTTCAACAAAAAACTGTGGATTCCTCCTTTCACCACGTCGCCTTCTAACCCTGGCACGACCATCGTGCATGCCTAAACAAAATTGAGACCCGTCACTAAAGACAATACTGTTCCATTCCTGATCCCAGAGTGACCGTTGTCTGCACCACTCAAGGCGATTACGTCGGTGTTCTCGAGTTAAAGGGAGAACCCAGTGTGGCCGGTATGAAAACAAGCCAAAGCTTCTCATTCGTCGGTAAACACTTCGCATGCCAATAGGTCTTCCGTGTTCTGCAAACCATTCATTTGCAATGGACCTGGTAGTGGAGAAACGGTCCCTTAAGGCCAGTAATCTTAGGCGGCGATCTTCACGGTCTGTTGTTCTACGGCGGCGTCCAGTGCCCCTTGCTCTTCGCGTACGGCTTTCTCGAAGCCATGCCTGACAACACCTAACCACAGTGTCTACACTTCTTTGCGCTCTAACTGCAATTGCCCGAAAAGAAAGTCCAGCTTCCCGAAGTCCCACTATACGGCCCCTATCAAACTCACTAAGTTGATGAAATCGTACAGGTCTCCGTACTCTAGGCATCGTAACCGATCGTAAAGGATGTCAAGAACCAAAATCCGCCAACGTTGATTCTTTACTGCGGCTGAAATATTCATTTTTAGAGCCTTAGTGAATTAAAAAAAGAGCAGTATAAAAACCGGAATGTCCAACTGATACTTTTTTCACTTGTTATTTACAGTAAGATAAATACATTCACCAACTTTAATTAAAATAAAACCATTTAAACTGGGTGTTCGGTTTTATATGTCACTTAGTATACTATGGTAATTAGAGGTAAAGTTTTTGAGGTTGATAATCGACAGAAAATTAACCCATGTTCCGTCTCTTAGAAACAAGGCTGTGGGGATTTTTAAACGACTATACCACATGATAAGAGGAAATATTCGATTATCAAACTTGCAACAAGGGCATATACAAGCGCAGACGGTCATTCTAATCCTCTGGTAAGGGAGGTTGTGAACTACTTTGTGGCTGATGTTCAAGAACCCAAACGTCCCTAAGATAATTAATGGGCATACATCACCCACCACCTTTTAATAATAGCTGTGTTTCTATACTAAGTGACATATAAATCCGAACACCCAGTTTAAATGGTTTTATTTTAATAAAAGTTGGTGAACGTATTTATCTTACTGTAAATAACAAGTGAAAAAATTTTCAGCCTTATCAGTTGGACATTCCGGTTTTTATACTGCTTTTTTTTAATTCACTAACGCTCTAAAAATGAATATTTCAGCCGCAGTAAAGAATCAACGTTGGCGGATTTTGGTTCTTGACATCCTTTACGATTGGTTACGATGCCTAGAGTACGGAGACCTGTACGATTTCGTCAACTTAGTGAGTTTGATAGGGGCCGTATAGTGGGATTTCGGGAAGCTGGACTTTCTTTTCGGGCAATTGCAGTTAGAGTGCAAAGAAGTGTAGACACAGACCGTGAAGATCGCCGCCTAAGATTATTGGCCTTAAGGGACCGTTTCTCCACTACTAGGTCCATTGCAAATGAATGGTTTGCAGAACACGGAAGACCTATTGGCATGCGAAGTTTTTACCGACGAATGAGAAGTTTTGGCTTGTTTTCATACCGGCCACACTGGGTCCTCCCTTTAACTCGAGAACACCGACGTAATCGCCTTGAGTGGTGCAGACAACGGTCACTCTGGGATCAGGAATGGAACAGTATTGTCTTTAGTGACGAGTCTCGATTTTGTTTAGGCATGCACGATGGTCGTGCCAGGGTTAGAAGGCGACGTGGTGAAAGGAGGAATCCACAGTATTTTGTTGAAAGACATGTTCATCACACTGTTGGAGTTATGGTTTGGGGTGCTATAGCTTATGGTTCCAGGTCACCTTTAATCTTCATCAGAGGTAACATGAATGCGCAGCGTTATATCCACGAAGTTCTAGAACCCCATCTTTTACCCTATCTTGACACCCTGGCAGATCCAACTTTCCAACAAGATAATGCCCGACCACATGTTGCAAGAGTCACAATAGACTTCTTTCAACATAATGATGTCACATTGTTACCATGGCCACCAAGATCTCCCGACTTATCCCCAATTGAGCACGTGTGGGATATGATGCGTAGGAGATTGCTCAATTTGCAACGTCCTCCTCAGACTCTAGAAGCACTTCGAGAGGATTTGGTGGTTGCCTGGAATGAGATACCACAGGAGGACATTGACCACCTGATCAGAAGCATGCCTAGGCTCGTTGGATAATGCGTAGCACATCAGGGTGCATCCACAGATTATTAAAGGTCACAGTGCTTTAAAGCAGTGCAATCATTTTGAAATTTTGATCATTTACTTATTATGCTTCATTAAGTACTTATACAAAATTTTATTAAAATAAAACCATTTAAACTGGGCGTTCGGATTTATATGTCACTTAGTATAGTATGTATTAATCTGATTAGGTTAGGTTTGTGCTCCTTCTGCAAGGACCCTTTAATTTGGAAAAACGAGCTAAAGACCCACGGTCTGTTCGGTATGCATGGATGTCAGATACTAACCAGCGACTGCCAGTCCAACGGGCTTTGCTTCAGCTACCGACGCGTCATCTGGCGGCAGATTCACAGCAACACTATCTTCCTCGTCATCACTCTCCTCTTCCCTCTCTGCTTTTCTCTTCTCTTCTTCCTTTCTCCTTTCTTCCTCTTCTTTCCTCTTTTTCTCCTCTTCCTGCCGTTTCCTTTCCTCTTGTTCTTTACGCTTTTTCTCTTCTTCCTTCCTATGTCTCTCCTCTTCTTCTTTCTTTCTTTTTACTTCTTCATCTTTTTTCTTTCTGTCTTCTTCATCCTTTTTTCGTTTATCCTCATCTTCTTTTTTCTTTTTATCCTCTTTATCTTTTTTATTATTCGCTTTCCTCTCAAACCAAGCGCTCAACGCTTCTCTTCCCTCCAAATCTATAGGATAAGACTGCTCTTGTATTTTCGCAAGCTCTTCAGCAGCCTTACTCAACGATTCCATGTTTTCTTTGTACAAACTTTTTTCGTTCTCAGTCAAATTTCCCTTTTCCTTCGCAATTTCCTGGAGTTTCACGATCTTATGAGCGTTATTTTGAATGTTCTTGATGTTCCTTGAAAAATCGTCAGAGTCGTTTCTTTCATATTTTGTTGGTAACGGAGGATATTCAAGTTCGGTAACATCGATGATATCTTCTTCTGAGGTTGATTCATCGATTGGAGTTTTCACAACTCTTGTGATGACTGTTCCGTTGGGGAGTTCGGTGATCTCGAGAGATTGGCCCCTCAAAGCTCCGTAGTAAGGCATATAGGTAACTTTTGGTTTTGGTGATCTAAAAGAGATTAAAAATAGAAATGTAGAAGATAAGGAAGATACAATATTGGGATTGTATTTTTTGTCTCAGATGCTTGAAAACCAAAATATTTCGCTCAAAATTATCCCAACGATTTTTTGTTCTCCTCGTTCTGATAATTTTGCTTAATCTCCTGTTAGAGAAAAATCGTGAACTAAAATACTTTAGTGTTTCAAAAGCTTCCTAGAATCCAAGACAGTAGAACAGAATCAGCCTATGGTCTATTTCCAGTATTACCTTTGTCGAAAAATTACTTCAAACTATCCTTTGTAGAAAAAACTTACTAATGCAGGACGGTCCTGTTCTACCATGAATCATTCGTATTCATAAAATACTTCTGCATGAAAATAATTTTTTTGCTGGAAAATGAATTTGTTCGTTACTAATACAAAAATGTTACCGCAATGGTTTTCCAAATTTGACATAATATAAGTAATAATGATACTCGTCCTAGAAAAATCGAGATTTAGTTTAAAGCTACTCTTACACCTTCAGTAGCCATTGTACAATAATAATTTCAAATTTTAACATATTTTTATATTATACAAACCATCTATTTGCATCATACTGATCCGTAAAGCTTCTATAGTACACATGCTGAGTCGGAAGGCATAACCAGAGATAAGTAATCTCTTTTTGAGATGTGTATTGATTAATTAAGGTACCCGGGGGTAATAAGGCCCACCTAAGAAATTATAATTAATATCTACGAGAGAAATTTACTTTTTCAAACTTTTATTATTATAAAAAATAGAAAAGGGTATAAACTAACATAATGGTAATGTTTGAACGCAAAATAATCATGCTTATATGTCGAGACGCGAACATTAAAAAAATTGTTTTCTGGGCCTTAAAGCCTGCAAGTGCATATAATAAGGCCCATATTTAAATGAACAAAAAACAAGTCAAACGAATAAACAAAACAAAAAAAAAACAAAAAATAAAAAGAAAATATTAAAATAATCATATCCAAACATAAATATCAAAAATATCCCTTTGGGCCTTAATATCTGCAACGACATATAATGAGATTTGAATGATAGATAAAAAAATAACAGTTCAACAAAATACTGATAGAATAAAAAATAAATGTAACACACTAAAAAAACAGTATCAAAGATAAAATATGGTATTAAGTATAAATCTAATACTTAAAGCATACAGTCTGGACCAAAAAATTTTTAGTATCGTCCGCAGTCAAACCAGCACAATCCTCATGGACCCAAAAACCACAAGAAGCACATCGTCTCATATCTGCTACATAGTCTTCGTAGCAAATCACACAGTGCCATTCTTCGTTATGTTCTTTTGTTTTTGATGCAATGGAAGACACAGATTCAGAGGTATTCGATAAGACTGGAACGGGATCAAGTTGAGACTCCACCTCCTTTAAAAATATGGATCGCTTGACTTCTACTGCTTTGTAATTTATAGCTTTACGTCTTGGAGCAGATTTTTTTTGAGTAGATCTGGTGTTGGTAACACTTCCGCGAAGGAATTATTCAAAGGGATTAATTTTTTACGCAATTCACCTAAAGGCAGGTAGTCATCTGAATCATATTCCGAATCATCGGCAGCGGCGGTCGTCTCCTGGTAAGGTTTCTCAGTTGCAAGACTTGGGGCAAATGCTTCAATCGGAAGAACATCCTTATCATAAGGGCATATTCCCGTAGCTCGAAAGCCGCTTGTAATATTTCCAATGGACATTGCTTTCTGCCATGTAGGTGTGAAAACTTCAGAAAATCTTTCCCTGTTTAAATCACGTGTAGGATGTTTATCCCAGTACTTTAACAATTCATCGTCCCAATAAGCTTCAAATGCTCGAAATATAGCTTTGTCCATCGGCTGAAGCTCATGGGTGGTGTTACTCGGCAGACAATATAAGTGAATCTCATGAGCTTCTGCTTTCTCAGCAATGCTAATATCCAAATGGCATTTGGCCCCATCAACAATTAAAATGACTGGCGGAGGCGACATGTATTCAATGAAATGGTCTAACCACTTATCAAACGTTTCTATCATCATGCTCCCTTTAGGCGTCATCATAACTTTTGAGCCAGCCGGTAAGCCATCTGAGTAGGTTGGCTTCATTCTCTTGCCCTTAAAAAGAATGACAGGCGGTATGGCATGTCCGAGAGCATTAGCGCAAGCGACGATAGTTGCGTTTTCGGCGTGTTCATGAGAAATTACATGCACTCGTTTTGCTCCTTTGGCTGCCAGAACGTTTTGTTGGTGGCGAAGAGTCAAGCGGCAACCCTTCTCGTCCATAGGTATTATAAATTTTTACTTCTTTATTTTTTAACTGAGTGCGCTCCAACAAATCTCCTAGTTTTTTGAAATGATCTTCTACGATAAAACGATTTAATTTTTGGGCTCTTGCTGGTTTCATGAATTGAGATCGACGTTTTGATATTCTCGGATGATTTTTCAGAAAAGTTCTTACCCACTCCCTACCAGCGAGACGAGTTTCCTGATTGAAACGATGCTTAATTTTCTTTTGCTCAATATACCTGAACACAGACCTTCTTAATGCTTTTGGTGTTAGCGGAAAACCTTTATCGGCTAGCCGAATTATTTTATTCTCAAGGTCAGTCTCTTCATTATCGGTCAAAATTGTTTGTCTACCTAGTTTTCTCTTCACGCTTTGTGATTTAATGTGGTTCCTAAGTGTTCGTCTGGGTATTCCGCATTTTTGTTCCACCCAGCGCTGAGATTTTCCCTCGTTAACATAATTTAATGCCTCTCTCATCATCTCTTCATCCCAATTTGCCCTTATCCCTCTGCTTTTTTACCCATCTTCTGTAAAAGAATAAATAAATCTAATGAATACGTGTATTCATGGTGGCAGAAAATAAAGCCCAAGCCTTTTTCAATGCATTGTAGAAAATAAGGCCCGGGCCTTATAACCTGTAGCACAATAAAATTAATTTTGAGGTTTTTAAACAACAAACAAACCCAACATAAAAAGAAACGCTACGTAAAATGAAACTATCAGATACATAGATTATCATGCATACATAATGAAAAATCTACGTATTATTAAAACAATTTAATTTGCTTACTTACCGGTCGAAATTCTTATAAAATACAGCACAGCGAAACGTGACACCATAGAACAAGCCAGGAAGCTCATAACCATAGAACAAAATTACATTTCCGGCAACAGTAATACTAAATATTATTAACCCATGGCGATATAAATATTTTAGGCGCTTTCCTTTGGGCAAACCAGCGTTGGGCATTCATATCTGGTGGGCCTTATTACCCCCGGGTACCTTATATACAAAAATTAGCAATTTATATTAAAAATTGACAGGTATATAAAGCAATTTAAGTTCTCAATTTTCTCAGACACATGATCATATTGTCTTAGTCCATGAATAAACCGAAAACATGTATTTCAAACCATTTGGATTCTGTTTCTACTAACTAGACTCAAACAAGGGAAATACATTAAGAAAGCATATTTAGGAATGGAAAGACCTAAGGACTCGCATAACTAACTTCTTTAATGCATAATTTAAAATGAATCTATTTTTGTACAATGTAAGTTCTTTGAATTAAGTCGTTCTTACAAATGTAGATGCCTTTATGGCCTCCTTGATTTTCATAGTATTTTCTCTCCTTCAAAAAGGCTAGGGTATTTCTAGATTTCTACTGTTTCGTGTCAACTTGAGGTATGTTTTGTTTTTGAATTGTAGGAAATTTCAGGCCGATATAATAGATGATATGAATTAAAAGCATGAAACATTTGAAGCAAATAAAAGTTGGGGTTTTCCTTTACACGACGTGTAGATCTTGAAAACATAAGCAAGTTTTCTCAGTACCATATACACCAATGTCTTAAGAAAACCGAGATAAAGGGCTCTGCAACATCAAAAATATCTGAATACCGTCCTGTAGCCGCGACCCGCCGCGATATCCCAGACTGGTACCGGCTACTAGCTGAACCCGACGACAGAACTGGGTCGGGGGTCGGGGTCAGTGTGTCAGGTCAGTATGCAACCTTCAACCGACGGTAAAAGGTCACGCGTATAGAGGTAACGAACCCGTATAATCGATTGCGTTTCAAAAAAATAAAATAATAATGGCACACGCTAGTGTATGCAGATCGTTTCCCTAGACGACATCATCCAAGGCCCCGCAGATTTGTGTACCTGGTCCAGAGAGTCAGGGATACGGGCCATTTGGAGGAATTTCGAGGTGGGCACAGTGGGAGGCCTACACAACCACGAATGGTGCAAGTTGAGGAAGAACTACTGAATCGCGTAGACCAGAATCCCTCAACAAGCACTAGAGACGTGGCTAGAGAAGTGCAAGTATCAAAAACTAAAGTGTGGCAAACGTCCAACGTGTACAAGCCCTTCAACCTGACGATTTTCCAGCAAGAGTGCGGTTTTGTGAGTGGTTGTTGCATCAACATGACAATAATCCGGACTTTTTGAAGTGCATATTGGTGACAGACGAATCTACGTTCACGCGTAATGGGGTGAATAACTTTCGATTTCAGGCAGAGACGTACTTAGCCCTTCTCGTCAACTGGAGAGTGAGTACTTTTTCCTTTATTTTACTTGGTCGCCCTCGTTTCACTACACATTACCTTTGTTATTTCAAGGGTAGTTATTTCTCAAAAGGAAAACCCCAACTTTGCGGACACCCTGTAGATATTTGTTACAATCTCAACATAGGCCGCCGACACGGAACAGTAGAAAACTATGTTTTAATTCCATTTTTGTCATGTTCTGAACAAAATGTAAGTGCTGAGCATTACTTCTGCATTTGATGAGTGATTACTCAATCTGTCATTTGCAATCAAATCGATAGTGCCTGAAAACTATTCTCGAAATTGGAGAGGCATTGAGGTTTCAAAATTCAAGATCTATTTGATGTGTCTTTGGATAACTTTGGCTATCAAAGTTTTCTTAATGTATACTGAACTTCCTAGATTTTATAT